ATCAGACTATGGCTTACCCTTCTCTCTCTCCCTGTCCCACCTAGTCTAGCTCATTGCCTGGGGAGAGGCGGAGGGGACTCCGACCCGACACCTCACTCCAGCTAGAAGCCCCCATCCCGAGCCTGGAGCTGAGAGTGGGCACATTCTGAGGTCAGCCTGTGGCCTTCTTTCCCAGGCTTCCCAGACAGCGCTGGGCCTCCAGAGAAACAAGGAACTGTACGAGGAGCTTCATTCAGGCCTCGACCCCACCCGAGAGTGACTGGAAAGAAGCTGGTTGGCAGAGAAGAAAACAGAGGATGGGGCTTCCCCCTACTCTTTGGGTAAAGGCCAGATCCCATACAGGGGCTGACTCCTGCCACCGCCTCCCTCTCATCCCCCTTGCTCCAGCCACCGTGGCCCTCTCTTCCTCCTGGGAGTTGGTCCCTTCCTCCACCTCTAAGGCGGCCCATGCAACGTTATCTCTGCTAAGCCACGTCCCACTCGTACTTGAGCTGTGGACTCATTCACTGTCGCTTCTCCTGGACGCTCCCTCCACGCTCGACACCAGATCGAGTCCTTCTCTTCTATGCTCTCAATAGATCTTTCTCAGCAATCCCAGGGCTGTGACTCTCAATTCACCTGGGTCGTTACTGGATGAATGCCCACCTCCCCCATGAAGATTATTCTCCCTCCTCCAGTGAACAGGGGCCTCATCTCTCTCATTTACGCTGTAATCTCAGCACCACATAGTGCTGGGCATACAGTGATGCTCAATAAGCATTTGCTGGATGAATGAAAGGTTGAATCAGTCAGTCCTGCCTATAACCGCTTTCTAGATGTGTGACCCTGGACAAGTCTCACTTTCTTGCATTCAGTCAACAAACACTTATTGAGCATCTACTACACATTGTTCTGGGCACAGGAGTCAAACCCAGATCTGGCTGGCTTCCAATTCTGTTCCCTTACTGCTTATCCAGCTCTGCCTTTCCTGAGAAAACCAATACTGAGGAGATGTTTGAGGCACGAGGTGGGAAACCCCAGTCTGAAGTCTCATCCTCTCCCTCTGGTCCCCCGGACATCATATATGCCAGTCCCCCGGTACCTCAAGCATCCCTCCCTCCATACCCTGGTGCACACAGAGCCCTCCAGCATCTCTGCCTGCCAACGTCCTATTCAACCTTCAAAACCCCATCACAGGCCGGCCCCGTGGTTAAGTGCGTGCGCTCCGTTACTGGCGGCCCAGGGTTTGGATCCCGGGCACGCACCGACGCACCGCTTCTCCCGCCATGCTGAGGCCGCGTCCCACATACAGCAACTAGAAGGATGTGAAACTATGACATACAACTATCTACTGGGGCTTTGGGG